TAAACGATGATTCATAGGCTGGTATCTTTTTCACTTTTTTGTTATATAATCTTCTGTAAACCTAAAATAAAGTCAGAGGAATTCCTATAAATTCTTTTTTTTGTTAGTCCTTCTCCCTATAACATTCAGTTGATTGTTTCCATGAAAATATACCATAAAGAGAGAATAAAATTTTGAGAATTTTTACTTTTATTAAAAATAAAAAATTTGACTGAAACAAAATTCCCCGCCTCGGTTTGTTTCGTTATTATAGACAAGTTATTGCTAACACTTTATTTTCATGTAATATTTAGCTCTCTCTTAAGGAAATACTACCAAACTGTTTAATCGATCCTACCAAAGGAACATAGTGAGCTTAGTAGCGTTTTGATATCCGGGGTACAGAAGTACTACTGTCGCTACCGTCATGGTAAAGCCGCAGAATCACAGCTGCGGTTTCTTCAATCGCCTTATTCGTCACATCTGCAACCACAAGAATAGTATGAGCTTCAAAACCAAGAAAAAACAGAATTTTGAGTAGCAAAACAAGAATGGTGTTTAAGTGTCTGTTGTTACCTATTACAGCCCACCCCGGGTTTTTCGCATAGATCTTTGATGCGAAATCAAGTTCTTTCCGAACAAGATCGAACCCTGAGTAATTGTTCTCTGCTTCTGTATCTACCCCTAACGTTTTAGCCCTTGTTCTCCTAATCGCTTGCAGGACAATGAGTTCAATCTTCAAACCGAAGACCTTTCTCGGTTCAACCTCAAAGAGCGTCTTGGGCGGTTCCACACCCATCACAAACGGTACATTCGCGACTTTGTACCCTTTCTGAGCAATGTAAGTCGACAATGGCGTCTTCCCTGTCCTGGAAACCCCGACTAGAATTATATCAGCCTTGCTTAAGTTCTCGGGTAGAGTCCCATCGTCTTGCTTAATGGTAAACTCAATGGCTTCGATTCTTTTGAAATATGCATCATTAAGAGTCTTGACCCTATCACGCGCTCCACGAGTAAGACCTGACGGAGAAACACCTAAGTGAGATGCAATCCCTTCGATGATTGGTCCTAGAATATCGACAGAAAGCACGCCACGTAGATCGCAAGCTTCTTTCGAGGATTTCGCCATTGCAGGATTTGCTAAAGTGTAGAAACACATTGCCCCTTCTTTTGCCGCCTGCTTGATAATCTCTATTAACTTCTCCTCATCTTCAACCTGACCAAACCCCAAACCAAACCAATGTCATGACATTTCACAAACTCTGCAACAATTTCAGTTTTAAAAAACAAGTATAGTCTTGCTCCTATGATCACTAATTGCAATTGTAGACTCAAATATTCACTGAGAAATATCAAAATTTCAGAGATTGTCATGGTCACTAATTGCAACTCCCTTCCACTAAATACACTAACTTTCCACCGTAATGTAATCAGATTTCAGAGAATTCGCAATCTTTCTGGCAACATTCACACAAGTTTCTCTCAAAATCTCATAAACAACATCTTCTTATGATCAGACAAGGTGAAAGTAACAAAATTTTATGTCTGAATCCTTAACATTTTGATTGCCTTAATGAAATTGAATGAAAAAGATGAGGTTTTTGGTTTACCCAAGAGAAGAGATGAGTATTAACAGAGCAACCACGACTGACCAATCGATCATCGAATTGCCCCAAAGCGGCGTTAACGGAATGCTCAGCTGTCCATCCAGTCCCGTCGGAAACCAAATATATAGACTTAACCGCCGTTATCTCCACGTCATCACCACCGTCAATAGACGACGACGTCTTCTTATCAGCTTCCTCCGTCGTTACTTGACGGCAAGGTGGGTTATCAGTACGGTGAATTTGAGGACGGTCGATTTTAACACCGGATCGTAAAGCTCGAGTCATGGACCATCGATTCAATCGGGGACTAATCTTCAGCTTCGGTGTCGGAGGACTCGAAGATATTGCCGGAGGTGGTTCGGAATTAGGTTCGGGATGGCCTGAGCCGCCGTGTAGATTCATCGTCGAAAGATGATAACCTTTTTTTTTTTCTCACGAGCGACGGTTACGGTTTTACATATCTTGTTTATGGCGGTTCAAACGCGTTAACCGCTAAATTGATTTCTGCGTTTTGATATGTGAAATTGACGGAAATGTCCTCACTAATTACTTGGGCTTAGAAACAGATAATCGGGCTTTTAAAAGCCCAAAATATCGTACACGCGCATTATCTGAGCGTATCGTACACGCGCGTTAGAGCATTATCCTCGACCACATCAATATCGAGCCGACACCCAAAAAAAAAGTGATCATATTCTGTCTCTCTTCACACGAAATTTGTGTTCTTTCTTCTCCGTCACTTTCGTTGCCTTGCTTCAATCATGTACTTTCCTTTTCTATGCCTTAAAATCAAACATCGGGTAAGCTCAAATTATTCGTGCCCTGTTTTCTCGAAGTTTCCGATTCTTTGGTTGATACTTATCACCACTTTGATCGATTATCTGAACTTATCAATTACACAATATAGTGTTCTTACTCTGTCTCTGTTCTCTCTGTAAACGGTTTAGTGTTAATTACAAAAAGGGTCTACTTTTTCAATTTGAATTATGACCTCTAATCGTAGTTTTATGGGTAAAATCTTCAAGGAATCTGATTTGAGAATCTGTGTTACGTTTGTTATTTGATTTAGGTTTCTGGGTTTGTTTGAGAAGAGAAGAAAAATGCATCCTTGTGGTTACATTGCTGAAGTTACCAACTTGTCTCCTCAAGCAACTGAGAAAGATGTTCATAGTTTCTTCTCTCACTGTGGAATCGTCGAGCTCGTCGAAATCACCGGGTAATTCATAACAACAATTAATAATTTTAGAAACATTTGATTCTTGAAGCTGTTTCTTGGATTCTTGTTTAATTATGTTTCAATGGATTTTAGATGTGAAGGGGATGATTCGTTAACGGCATATGTAACCTTCAGAGATGCGTATGCTCTTGATATGGCCTTGTTGCTTAACGTAAGTCACCGCCTTTTTCCCTGTAAATTCCCAATTGAAATGATCTTCTCGGCATTGATTCGAACGTTTTCAGGGAGCTATGATCGTTGATCAAACGGTTTGGATATCGATGTACGGTGTATATTTACACGAATCTAACAATCTCACACAAGAAGAAGAAGAGGATAGTGTAACGGTAAGTAAAAGAACCAACTAGATTACTGAATTTTCTAAGTCTGTTAAAAGGCTAAAAGAATGTTTCTTTGTTTCTTGGGGTTTAAAAGGTCACTCAAAGTCACGCGGACGCATTTGCTTCATCGCCAGGGGAAGCAGTAACCGTGGCTCAACAAGTTGTAAAGACAATGATCGCGAAAGGCTACGTTCTAAGCAAAGACGCGATTGGTAAAGCTAAAGCTTTGGATGAGTCTCAGAGATTCTCAAGCTCGGTAGCAACCAAATTGGCAGAGATCAGCCATTACCTTGGCCTCACACAGAACATTCAGTCGAGTATGGAAGTCGTGAGATCAGCGGACGAGAAGTATCATTTCTCGGACTTCACGAAATCGGCCGTTCTTGTCACGGGAACAGCTGCTGTGGCCGCAGCCACCATAACGGGGAAAGCGGCTGCTGCTGCAGCTACTAGTGTAGTGAACAGTCGATACTTTGCAAATGGAGCTTTATGGTTCTCAGATGCTTTGGGCCGGGCTGCAAAAGCAGCGGCCCATATGGGTGGTGGAGGAAGCAATTAATCTAAACTGTCTTTATGCTTCTTAAATAAATGTCTATATAGTATATATGAGAGGTTAAAGATGCTGGGAAAATAAAGTATTACATGTTCTTCCCTGTCTGTTTTATTATGAGAAATTTGTGACAGATATTTAAAAACATTTTATGAACAAATAAAAAAGGAATTTCACACAAGATTAAAGAGTTTATACATGAAGTGGAGGAGGATATATAATAATAATATAAGTCTAAGCTTACTTATTAAAAAGGATGGGTCCTAGAAACCTCCCTAACTTGATCATTTCCTCTTCCTCTCTCTCTTTCTCTTATTTGAGAGGTAGATGAGATCTACAAGAAACTCCAAACTCATTTCCAAATTTGTAAACAACAAACCATTTTAATCACCACTTTACAAAACTCCACAATCCAATAGAAGCATATATATGCAGTGATCAATCATTTGTGGAGTTAAATTTGTCTACATATAAATACATGTTTGTGTTTGATCCAACCGCAAACGCAGACGCAGGATTGAGATTGGAGATGGCGTTTCCTCAACATGGTTTTATGTTCCAACAACTCCATGAAGACAATAGTCATGATCAACTCCCTTCTTGTCCTCCTCATCTCTTCAATGGTA